AAAAGCAGCCAAATTAAGATGGAAAAAGCAGCAACTTCTCAAATTAGAACTGCACCTGGCCAATCAGAGCTTACACAGAGGGGTTCGCTTAAACCAGGCTTACACCAACACATTTTAATTTTAGCCTCCCTCTCTCCCTCCCTCTGCTTCTTTGTCTTCTCCTCCATCATTACTAGCTCCTCCCAGCAGCGGCTGCGTTTCTCCCCGATGCTCCTCCCCCTCGTCCTTGCTGTCTATCACCCAGCGGCTCGTTGGCACCGAGCTGACTGAGAGCGTGCAGCAGATGGTGCGCTGCTGTCGCTGTGTCAGGCCACTAGCAGGACACCCAACAGCCCCTCCTTTCCCTCGTCGGCCCTCAGCCTCTCCCTGCAATCCCTGCTCCTTCCCTATTACACATCCTCCAACACGCGTACACACAAACCCTCCAGCATCACTTCAGCCCAACCAGGTCACCTGCTGCCAGTACAACGGCGACCACACACACAAACACGGAATGAAATATCTCATGGTACACGGCACATTCAAGGAGGTCACACATATGGCACCATTACATGCACGGATTCCCCCTTATATTCCTGCTACGCTCCAAGTAACATCAAGATGACAAGAAATTTTATTGACATTCACACATGCACTCTACACCTCGCTCACACACATACACATGCACACACACTCCCTCTCTGTCTCTCGCTCTCTCTGCTGTAGCAGTTCAGTTAATCAAGTGCAGCATTTCTAGCATGGTCAGCAAGTCAATACACTTACAACCTTCATCACGTAGCTAACATATAAATATTACATCCTCATTTGCAATAACCTGGTCAGGCCAGTTACAGGGCAGAGTGAAACCAACAGGCACTTACAAGCAACATTACAAGCAGGCTCAGTGAAGCAGCACAAAATGAAACTTATTGTCCTGCATATAAAAGTGAACAAATGCAGTAAACAGAGAATCTAGACAGACGTGATTTTAGTCGTCAAAATAGCACAGAGCGTTGACTATTATTACATACCTTGAGAAGATGGAGAGATGTTGCTGGAAGCCAAAATACAGGTGAAGATGATCCAGACTGCTAGGGCCATGTTTGAGGCTGACCAGGGGGCGGGGCAAGGGGTAGGGCTAAATCGTGGAGGCGGTCAGCAGGCACAGGTGAGTGTGGCGGCACTTCCTCAGCTTACACCCTCCCTGAGGGAGATCCTGCTGGAAAAAGACAGAAAGAAAAAACAAGAGAGGTAAGTGCTGCCTAACATTTATTATGTATATCTTTACGTCCATAAGGAGGTATTATTCCACAGTTCTGTTTTTCAATCTCTCTCCTTTCAGTGTGGCATTTGACTCAGACAGCACTGACTAATTTATTCTGCATTTATCACTGGAATATGTGATAATAACTCCGCACAGAACTGAGAGGCTCACGGCTGGTATAGAATACTAAACGATATCTGAGCATGAAAATAAGAGAGGAGAGGAGAGGAGAGGAGAGGAGAGGAGAGGAGAAAAGGCTCTCCTCCTGATGGTCAGGTGAAATGATCAGACAGGGAGATCTGAGGCCATTTTGTGCAGTATGGCATGGCAACAGCTGTTGCCACTACAAGCTCATCACTCCACAGTGTACGGGCGCTTGATTGAATCAGACATGCTACATATGTTTTGGGGCTGTTAACCAGGCTATATTCAACATGTGAAAAAAATACAAATACATGTCCTTAGTGTGTCCTGTGTGTGTGTGTGTGTGTGTGTGTGCGCACACAGAGCGAGACAGTGAAAAGCTGTGACTCAGTCGGCAGTGCCGTGGGGCTCACACATCTCATTTGCCTAATGAAATAAATCACAATCTGGAACTTAAGCTCTGATTTTTTTGAGAGCAGATACGCTCTGCCCTGCCAGGGGCTGAGAGACAGAAAACAGCAGAGATGGTATTGTTAGAGTTAATACGCCTCCTGCTGAGCTTCCTGATGAAACAGACAGATTGGACAGGGGCTCTCTGTATCTGTTTGTGTGCGCGGCTTTCTTTAGAGGGGGGAGATGTTGAGAGGATTTCCTTTGATCTGTTTAACCCTCTACCCCCTTTACTTGATTGATCTAACCAACTTATACAGCAGGAGGACATAAGATTAAGGGAACATGTTCTCCCACACAAGCAGAGGACGTGAGTATATCGAGCTAACTTTCCAATTCAGCCAAACCAATCTAGCTCTACAAGCCTGGAGACATTTTCAAACCTTGGTGATACCTTTGAAAAGAACAAAAACTCTGGGTTTGGGCTGTCGCAGTAAACTGATATCCACATGAATCCATTTTTAAAAAGGAAATAAACATTAATATTGTGCATAAAATAAGCATACAGTACTGACTGCCAGCCATAAGATGAAGAAGTGATGCAGAAAAAGCAGGAGCAGCAGCTAGTTAAATGTAGCAAAACTGATGTTGAAAGATTTAGTTTGAATCTGAAATCAATGTAGGTACTTGTGCCTCTTCAGGATGCTGATACATTTAATATTTACACTTTCTGACCGATCTTTAAGCTGTTTTCATTCAGTTCTTTTCATGAGGAAATCTCTTTTCTCCAATGGATCCCTTACCCCAGCCTCAACTGCTGGAGAGAAAATGATGTTACAGAAGAAGACGGGGAGTTTACGGTTGATAAGAAGTTCCTGCAACATGAAAACTTAAAAGCATGGTAATTGTTATGAACCTCATTTATATGTCAATCATGGTCCTATAGTATGATCTCCACAAAGTGAAGAGAAAAAAGAATGGGAAAAATCTGTTCACCCTAGCAGGTGCAGGGCTGCAAAAACATCAACCAATGGGAGCCATCCGTCCCAGACAGCTCCTATTGGTCAATCTCCTGCTCCACCACTCTATCCAATCACTTTGCTGTAGTCAACACACCCCTCTCCCGTCTTTCCGACTCGTCCCCTCCCACTCTCACGGCCCTCCTCAGAGCTCTGAGCGGCTAAAAGTAGCGTAGCAGCTTAGCTACAGGGGCTGTGATGGAGAAGGACGCAAAAAGACACTTCTGCTTGCCCCACCGCCGAATTTGGGAAGAAAACGCAAGCCGACAGAAGAAAGGGCGGAGAAGAAGAGGAAATGTAACCAAGCGAGGAATCTAACTGGAATAAACATCATGTCATCCTTCGAGCGGGGGAGAAAGCTCCTCCAGGATTTGGGCCTGAAAACGAACGCGGGGACAACAGAGTTTCTGTTGAACAGGTAATGGTAGGTAAGTATAGGAGCCAAAATATATTTGTCAAAAGTTTAATTCTTTATAGCTACGTCACTTCCGTGGATCGTCACTGAGGGGTGTGGTTTTGGGATGTTTGGCAGGTTATTTAAATCTCACCGGCGTAGTCAGACAATGGGTTTGTGGTAAACTCTGATAATTTTCTGTTTTAATCTCATTTCATCATATCACTTTTTCATTTAAAGGTAAAAGTTTTGGGCCTGGATCAGTGTGTTTTCTTTTCTTTTTTGGAATAATAAACCACTTTTGACACTCAAACCGGACTGATAATTGAATGAGTCACAGATGCAAGTGCACCTAAACCCCAGCAGCCTTTTTGTTGAAGGAAAGCAGTCGCTACAGTAAGTTAGCTGCATTTACAAGAAAAGTTAAGAGAATAATGTGTTGTCCTGTTTTAATTCTAATGATAACAGCCATGATAATTGAGACGTGAATGTAGTAAGTGTGATAAATGTGTCAGTCCTACTCCAAATAATGTCAAACACAGTCTCTAAAAGCATAACACAGATGCTCAAAACAACAAAAGAGAAGAAATGTGACAGAATATGTGATTTAATGAAACAGCGTGGACATCCTCCCCTGAAATTATTTGAACAGAAATCCAGAGTAAATACGAGGGACAATATGTGCTGAATTTCTAATCCTATAATCCTAATCTTTATTCTAAACTTCAACCCAAAGCACAAATCAGACAGTTGGAATTGTAAAACTGCCCCTACATTTCTCACTTTATAATCTTTTCATCCTTGTATGCTCATTCAAAGACATGCCGTGGCGTGGCAGAGCCCTCTTCTTTCGGTCGCCAAGATGGCAGATACTGAGTGACGGGATGGCCTCACCCTCTCTCTCCATCATCACTGATTTGGCTTCCACTCCACCTCTCCAGCCCCTCCTTTCCCTGACCTTCTCTGATATTTACCCTCCTCCCCAGTGGCAGCACCCGGCCCACAGCCACCAACCTGCCTGGGTGTCGCTGTGTGGATTAGTAAATTGGTTGTCGTAAAGTGCGTTAAGGGAGAAAGAGAGAAGAGGAGGACAAACAGTGAACGGAGAGAAAGAGAAAGAGAGCAAAAGCAGAACATGGCGTACAAAGAACATCCACAGCAGCTGTTTTTTTACACCAGCATTTATTTCTATCCACACACACACACTTAACAACCTCTGCACTGGAGCAGTCTGTGCCTTATTTTCGGTTTGTTTGCGACCACCCTCTATGGCCAGCGGCGGAGAGAAAAGGACACGCTCAGAGGGGGGGCAGGACAGACAAAGAAAGAGAAGAAAAGCGGTAAACAAATAGCAAAAAGACATGTGATGTGGTACTGTAGAAGCCTGGCTGCACCGCTCTCTCTCTCTTACGGCCTTTCCTCTCCTCACTGTATTATTAATGGTCAAAAAGTGATCCCCTCCTGTGCAGTGACAGGCCTTTGGTTTTTCTCTTCCAACTTTTGGGGTTTTAATAAGAAAAATCTGTCTTTCCTCTTGTTTCTTTTGACTGTGCTTCTGTCTGTACTTTTCAACAATGGCTCTCCTGTGGTCTCAGAAGATGAGGACGACCGAGGAAAGAGCAGAGAGGAAGGGGTGGAAGTGATGAGGAGGGGAGGGGGGGGTGAGGTTAGGGATTGAGGGGAGGAAAGTGAAGAAAAGTGCAGGGTAGATAAATTGACTTTCATTTTGTGACAAAATGAAAGCTTGAACTGCACAACACCCCATTTCAATGTGGTAGGAGGGGAGAACAGAAGGAAAGGAGGAAGAAGGATGGCCGGAATGAAGAGAAGGAAGAAACAAAGGAGTGACAGAACAAAAGAACCAGGGAAAGATGGAATGAAAACAGAGAGGGAACATCATGCGGCCTGCATAACTAATAAACAAGGAACAGAAGGAGCAAAGGAGGTGAGCAACAAACGAAGTATGGGAAGGATGACTTTCTGTAAAACAAGGAGAAGAAAAAAAGAGAGTGGGAGGGAAAGAGTGCTGAAAATAACCAAGTGAGAACCGCAAAGACATAGTAAGAAATCAGGAAATAATGGCAAAGGGGGAAGTATTTCTTCTGCCTGCGTCTATGAGTCAGCCTGCCTCTGGGCGGAGGGGGGTTCGGAGACTTTGGAGGGTGTGAGATGGGTGCTTTTGCCCTCAATGATCTCCCCCCCCTTGGAGGATGTTTCGTCCCAGAGGCCGGAGGCTGACCTTTTGCTCTGATCACATCCATTATTATTATCATCACTGTTTCTCTTCTAATAGAGCAGAACATCGTATCCCAATGAGAGCGGGGCAACAAAACGGGTGGGAATGGACAGCAATTTCATCACACTGGTGGTGGAAAGGTGACGAGGGGGAGAGAGTACGAGGGAGGGCGAATTTCAGCTCAGAGACAGATATGCCGCAATCGAATCTAAGCGCAGCGCCGGACTTTCCCTTTAGTACACAGCTCTGTCATCTTGTTGCGAATGCTACCCTCCGTTTCTTAAGCTATTAATTCACAGGCTGCCTTGATCCAAAGCAAATAACCTCATTATCTTCTTCTATTGGATCATTACGATAATCACCATGATCATTAGGATCTGTTTGCTTTAGCAGACATGCTCATCAAGAACAGGGTGTCACAAGTCTTTCTTATAAAGGGTGGGGGGCGCCGCTAAAGGCTGCGAGTGTCTGTCATTAGAAGCGTTTATGTTTACCCTGTCACGTAAGTCATTTTTTTGCGCAGAAGAAGAAGAAGGAGAAGGAGGCATTTAGGAACATTACTTGGACGGCATAAAAGAGGGAGAACAAAGAGTTTACGTCGACACTTTTTGCTGCATAATTAGAAAAGCTGGTGCAACTCTCAGAGCTGCTACAGCTCCAGGCTTTCTCCTCTGCTTTTCCTCCACAGAGGGGAATCAGATATCAAGGTGGGAGAGACAAGTATGATAAGTGTGTGTGAGTCAACTATTTTGGTGTGCATGTATGTGTTTGTGTGCGTGAGATGGAGACTGGACAGCCCGTGGTCAGCGGGCTATCTCCACATCGCAAACACCGCAACTTTAAAAGCAGGTTTGCTTTTCTGCACTCTGCAAAGATGCTTCTCACACATAAAATGCTCCGACTACTTCTAGCATCTTAATTAGCATTTCAATAAATCTGAAGATGAGGTATGTTGTGTGAACAAGAGAAAATCACGCAGGGCAATGGGGGGCAGAGCCGCGAGTGGGAAAAACACAAACACGGTTTTATTCAGTGAGGAAAACACTTGTGATTGATTTAAAGATTTGACAGTTTTAACTTCTGACGCTCTGTTGCCTCATGCATGTCTTTGCATCTTAAGATGAAGCACCAGCATTTCCCATGCTATTAGGATTGATGTTTATGCCTCAGATGCTTCAACAACAAATAGTTGGTTTGGTAGCAAAGCTCCTGCTATGAAGGAAATGATTGCCTCCTAGCAACCGACACGGTGGAGCGTGCGAAGGCTGAATGGCAATCACATCTCACTTACAAATCAGAAAGTGATGCAAACTGCTGTATTAAATATTTGTAATCAAGTAAAAATTCGGTTCAAATAAACTTCCAACATCCACTTAGATTGGAATAAATTGGAAACAACAGTGAGCTGCAGTGATTTGGTGCCAGTCAAGTTTAAGACTGGCACTTTATTTCCGAGGAAAGTATCTCTGGACTCAGTGAAGGCTAGCCATGTAGTATTAGAGTTTGATGAGACTGCAGAGAACGACAAAAACGTATGCCTCGCCTGGGGGACTTTAAGTAATTCTCCCTCTGACTCATCGTTGCTGAAGCTTTGTCACACTCGATACTCTTTTGTCCTCTCCAGTTAGGCAAGAGGGAGCAATACAAGGAAGTGTAACAATAAATGAGAACGAGACGGAATTCATTAATTACCTTCTCACCTCCATAAAACTAATCACTCGCCAAAGTGAATATAATTATCTTACTTTCCTTTTGAAAATGTAACAGACATACCATGAAATATCATTACCATCACCATCTGTGATCCGGCTTCGCTGAGTGGGAGGCTGTGTTTTTACTGTTAGACCTGCCTTACAGGATTCAGAGGTATGACAGTTGAATTGAATTTTTATGATTATTCAAATGAGTCCAAGTGATGATTTGGACACACTTTTAGAGTGTGTGTCACAAGCTCCCATAATGGGACACATGGAAACAGATTATTTGGATCCTCTGCATCAATGTGCGGTGACTTGAAGTGGTTGAAATTAAGTGTGAGGCTCATCCCCAAGCTGTAAAAGTGGCTGTGGCTCTGTGTTTGAGGCCGGGTTTATACGTATCCGGTTATTTTTAAAAACAGAGACATTAACCACCATTTGCAGCCTTTATTTAGACGCAAACAGAGAATTCACCCCTGAAAAAGGTGCTTTTTAAAAACTCCGGCCAGTGTGGAGATTTTGGAAAACTCTGTTTGCACGTTTGCATGTAAACAGAGAAAAACAGGGATTTGGGTAGCCGACGGCAGATTTTGACCCGGAAACTGGGACGTTAATGCGACGTTGTTTACAATCTACAGTGTATATTTACAATCTATGGTTATCATGGATGCAGTCGCATTTATGCTGGTGCAATCCTTTAGTATTTGTTTGCGTTTGCAAATACAGGTCAGCAAGGTTGCGGCAACTTCTCCCTCTGACATGAAGAGTTTGTTGGTTTTGGGTCCGACCTGGGCGCACTGCTGTCTGGTGGGAGAACTTCGAAAATGAAATAATTCTGCTGGAGGAGAGGCATAAAAATTTCCGGATGTCGTTGGCATCGCTGCTGTCACTCTCCGAGTTGCTGTGTCCCTATCGAAACGGCATATATACACAGGCTAGAGTAAACGAAAACTTTACTGAAAACGTAGAGGTGTGCGCGCAGTTTTCTTTTTGTAAACAGAGGGGGTGAAATGTCCGTTTATGAAAATAGCCGGGAACATGTAAACGTAGTCTGAGCCGGTCCTCTCCCAATCAAAAGCTTGACACCTGCAATCCATGTGCCTTTGGGTGATTAAAACATGGCGCTTTACATAGCAGCCTCTAATGAATATGGTGTGAATGGATGAATGAGGCATGTATTATAAAAGCACTTTGAGCGGTGGACCCAAGACTAGAGCGAGCACTATACAAATACAGTCCATTTCCATCATACCATTAACCCCATCCAGGTGTAATTACACCTGCACAGTCCTCCCAGATCTCCATCAGACTTTTAGCTGAATTTTCAGATTTGATCTTTCATTGCTTTTTCTGCTGATGTAGTTATTAACCAGCTTAATTTAAAAATCCACGTTAATGACACTGAAAACGGACATTTTCTCCTCAAGAACAGCAGGTTCTTGAACCTTGAACACATAATGTTGGATATTACTGTGACCTGATTTTTACTCATGAGTACTGGTTCTATGTTTGCATCAGATCATTAATGTATTTTATTTTTTAAAGCAACATTCTTTTGTACTTGAAGTGGAGAAGCTCTTTCACGATTCGTTCCCAGTTTGCTGCCAGAGATTGTTTGTGTACATCTTCAAACACAGACAAGTTAATGAACAAATTAAACCTGATTTGCACATCCACGTTAGATTCTGTTGCACCTCTTAAGGATTCAATTAAACATGGAATGGGATTGACAATGTTGATGTATAATGAGTTTAGTAATCACAAATGACAATGTAAAGGGACGGGATAAACACGGGGCTTCACATACATTTACGACAAACAATGCAGTAATGATAACTGCTTTGTTTTCATCTATTCCTACACTCCAAACCTGAGAGCTCTTTTTTTGTATTGTGAAGTATCTTTTGAACCTCCAGTGAAAGGGGTTTATTGAATTGGTAATCTCTATTGTGTCTAAAATCAGTTAGACAAATAAAAAAGAAAATGGGCTCTGGTTGTTTTTGATTCCCCATGTTATGAAAAAAAGAAAAATCTGCCATGCTTTCTTAAAAAGCGTATGATCACCATGGCATCGCTCAAACACTCCTCAAGCCCTGTACTGCCTCCTAAATATTACCTTGAACTAACTGCTTTTCACAATAAGTATCATTTCTCTGCCACCTGGCTGTGTCCCGCAATCCTTAATGATACTCTGTGAACCGTCAAAAAATAAAAAATCAGACTTTTTCCCATCATACAGCAGCAAATCTGGACCAACTATAAATTTGCCTTTTTGTCACTTTCCATGAAACGAAATATTAGAACGACTGCGCTTACATGGCACATTTACAGTGTTTTCATTCGATACCAGTCACATTTTACCACGAATGGCAGAGGAAAGTATAGTAAGTAGTAGCCATAAGTGCTATCTAACCCCTGCATACACATTCAGACGGGCACAATTAATCAGAATAACTGCCCGATCAGAATAAAAATGCATCAGGTAAACACGTCAATCTAAAGATTCTGATCCAATTCGGCTCAATTGGAAAGAAATTGTATTCTGAATGAAAGAAGTGGAATATGCTGATCGTTATTCCGAAATCGTCCATGTAAACACTTATTCCGATCGTGACTCTCTAACCTGACTCAGCCGTCACTCTTTAGCCTTCAGTCTATTTATTGAGGTCAGTACCGAAAGTTTCGTTATCAACTCCTCCGATAGCACAACAAGGCATACATACCGGGTAATGCAACCTGTGTCAACCTTTGACAGAACAGTAAAATAAGTATGCAAGGGCGCCATCTAGTGTTCACAGCACAGGTGTCAATACAACTTTTCTTCTTCGGTTGTTTCAGCGAAATTAGACAACTCTGCGCATGTCCGAATGCTTCTAATTTGATTAAAGCTTGGTGAAGTATACACACGTCATGAGCGGATTATTTGATTTTGGATTCAGATTTCCAATCTGTCAATTTTTAATCGGATTGAGAAATTTTGTACATGTTAACTGGCTACTGTTGGCTAAGGACACAAAACTGCAGGTGCTAAGATTGAACTCAACACCTTCCAACTCTCCCAGAACCATCCAAAGCAACATCAAAATTGATTGATATATTTATAATCACCATGCGATGCATTTAGCGATACAGCATCAGTAAATATCAACTTTTAAGTAAAACACAGTTGTGGTGCCAGTCTGACCCACCACTTTACAACAACATGAGTCCCCATGACATAATAACGTAAAGGAGGCTGTTGTGGACAGCAGTTAACAAAGTTGACAGCAGCAAAAGAGCAGAAGAGGACAGCAGGATAATGCCAGGCAGAGATGAAAAGACGTTCAGAGAAATGCTCGCCACTTTCAAAACCAAAGGAACGAAAAAGCTATTCCAGCTCTTTATGCCTTAACAAGGGACAATGTGGAGGATGCACTCAAGTCTGCAGAAGGAGTTACACTCACCTGC